TAATCTATTTATATTTATTCACTTAAACGATAATAAACCCCTAAACCCACGTATACTTTTTATTTTTATTTTTCACTTAATAGTTTTCTATCCGTTTTAAATATTATTTAAGAGTTGATAAGACACGTCAAAACAATATGTTGAATCGATTTATAAATAACGCAGACGATGAGACCATTATAATTTATAATATAATGCCATCAATCAATAACACTTGTATGAAGTTGGCCCTCAATTATTTTTAATCGACTCTAAACCCATCTCAATTTTTTGTAACCCATTTGTAACTATTTCGTATGAATCAACATTCGTTTCTTATTGAAAAATTACTGTGTATAAAAGTACTTCTACACTAAATTCTCCCAAATTTCAAATAAATATCATAGCCGTAGATAACCAAACTAAACAATAAGCAATATATATTTACCATTTTAGATTTCACAGAGCATATATTTTTATACATTGCATAGTTTTATTTATTTATTTTTGTAACGATGTTGGTTTTAATTGTGCAAATGCCAATTGAGTCAAAGGAATAGTCAAAAAGTTGTGTGTAATTTAATGTGGTAATGTTATAATAATTTAAATGTAATTACATGAAATTTTTTAGAACATTAAAGCATATATTTTTTCCAAATTGAATTTTATCACAATTGGTAAAAACTAACACGAAATTTTCATCCATAGCTCTTGTTTACCCATCAGATTTATAGATAAAATTTAGTGGTTTTATATAGATTGACAAACAAAATTATTGATTTGGAATTTAAATTTTTTAGATCTTCGAATTGGTGTTAAAGTACAATATTCAGTTAAAAATGCAAACATAATTTTCAGTCAGTAATGATTTTTATAAATTACGAGTGCATTTACAGTGAAATACATTAATTATGAATTATGACTAGGTATATTGAATATATAAATATATTAATCTATACGTCATAGACTAAACTACCAAGCATGTTAACTCTACATTTTTCCTTTAATAATAAATCTATTCGAATTCCAATTTTTACTTTAGACTTTTAAGTTTACCAAAGTACCGTATTTTTAAGTATATAGATTGTTTACACTATTTAAGTTGAGTAGAAGTATAAATTATACGGCAAAACTAAAATAATTTTTTTTTTTTTATAATGACAACCTATTTTTTTAACAATACATTGTTAAGCAAATTATATCTTTGAATACATAAGTCCGTGATAATTAATAGTAGACTTGGAAAATTATAGTTATTAATTTAAATTAATTAACATTTTATAATTTGTGTAAGTATAATAAGTAGACAATCAACTAATATAAGTACTGCATACATCTTATATTTTATGCAAAACTATTTTTAATGACTATTCTTCTTACTTTTCACATATTAATAACTAAGAAATTTGGTGCTCGTTAAAATTAAATTAAGTTTAATCGAAATAATCAAAATAATCATCTGCTATACAGTTTAAAGCAAAAAATAAGTTTAGTCATCATAATTTTGTTACTCCTAAAATTATTTATAAAACGCAAAACTGTACTAAATAATGTATACAAAAATGTTCGAAAATCAGAATATAATAATTTATACATAATATTAATGAGAAAATAATTGATAATGCACCGTAAAATTCCCTTTATATATATAATAATAATATATATATATGTATAGATTGTTCACAATCTTGTTGTTTTGCTTGTGTCCTAGTTAAGGGTAATTATTATCTTCATTTTATCCTAAAACCGTATACTTGAACCTTGTTATGATCATTTTTCAACATAATCATAATTTCCTTAAAAAAAAAAAAATTAAAGATAACTACAATTATTTTTAAATAGCAAGAAACGCGCGTAAGTGTATCGTAGTAATAATAAATTGTGCATCACTGAAAGATAAATGATCGAAAAAATCACATGATAAATGATTGAAATTAATAAATGCATTTTTTTGAATAACGATATTAATAACAGGCGCTTATAAGATAGTAACTATAAACATGTGTACGTATGCAAGAAAGATTTGAATTGTGTTTTCGTGTTGAGTAACGATGTGGCGACAGGTTTCGTAACTTTAAATCTAACGTTTATAATTTAACAGAAACTATAATGACAGAATCTCACGTACCAATTTTGTTTCGGAAGTCCGGATTTATGGGAATCTTCATAAGTGTTGCTGAAACAATAAAAGTTCATATGATATTATTACTACAATATTAGTAATTAGTGTTGTATTAATTATTCTTAAAATAAACATTAACTGATTTTTCGTTTAAATTACATATTATTATTATTATTTTTTTTTTTTATTATTATAAAGTAAAACCTTGGCAACTATGGTAATTTGCTATAACGAATTACCACGTGTTTACACTTTATCTTAAATTACTTAGATGTAAATAATAATACATTGCATAATATATTATTATTGTGGTAATTTCAAATAAACCAATGTTTTAATAATTATAGTAGTAATTAGTTGATATTTTATTACAATTTGATTGGTAAAATTAACAGTACTCTTAGAACTTCTGGTAACCGATTGTATTTTTTTCATATAAGTTAGTAATCTGTATAAATCATTATTAAAAAATATGTTCGAATAAAAGTCATTAATTACAAATTTTAATGTGTGTAAATGTCAAATATGTGAATACTGAATAACATACGTACTCATAATAAAACTATAAATTACCATATGAATTAATTGATTTTTAGATTCATTGCTTCGCTCAGAATTTATTGATTTTAGAATGAGGCGAATTATTTATTTTTGTATGAATACACAATAAGTTATTGATAAAATGCATAAATTTCCAACTTATAAAATGGTTTTAGAAAAAAAATCAGATATAGTTTTTATTTCAAAGAAGTCAAAATTAAAAATTTCTAGTTTTATTTTTTTATAATTGAGGAAAAAAAATAAAATCAAGGACAAATATTTAGACTAAATCATATTTTAATTTAGTTTTACCTTTTATTTCTTTGTAATTCTAAAACTAAAAATTGCAGAAATTTAAAACTTTCTTGAAATATTTGTATTATTATTTTTCTGTGTATTGTATAATTTTTGAATTGACTTTTTTGAGTTATTTATAAATAATTGCAATTGTTTTTTTTTATATAAATGTCAATAAAAAAAATTATGATTGGATAAAAATGCTTAAAAATTTAATTAAAGGTTTTTAATAAGTAATTAATTTTCCACTAAAAAGTTATCGATAATTTATTACCAGAAAATTTTTTTTAAAACATTTAAATTTAGAATTATTATAAAATGTGTGAAAATCTTGAAAATACACGTTATTTTGAAATTAAAAATACAAAAACAATTTTCTATTGATAGCTAAAATTTTCAATCTATAGAAAATAAATTTTTACCATGAAGTCAATTAAATTTTATTAAAATCTGTTTGAATATAACGTTTCTAAGACAATTGATATGATAAGCCATAAAATAATAATTTTTCATCAAACGATTTTTGTTTTTGTTGTAATTCAAAAACGAATAACTGTTGATACTAAAACTGTTTACAAAATATTTGTATATATTATTATTATATGATAAAAAATGAAAAATGTTTAAGTCATTTTGAGAAAAATATAGACTCATATGAAATGTTTACGATATTTTCAGTTTTTGCTGAATAACAATAATAATGATAAAATATGCCAATAAAAAATTATTTGCTTTTTCAAAATTCTTGAAAATTTAATACGATATTCCGCGAAAGTTATTCTTAAATGTATAAAAATATTAAAAATGTTTTTATATACATTTTAAGTTAAAATATTGAAAAATGTTTTCATAATTGTTAAAAAACGAAAACTATTTTGTAGTTTTTCTTAACTTATTCATACTAAAATATTAAAAACTTTAACCACGAACCAGTATTATTTATTGTTCCAGCCGCTTCATATTTGTATCCCTTGAGTACGTCCTCTGGTACATCTGAAAATGATATGGAAAAATTTAATCTTACAAAATGTTAAATAATCTTAATCTGAAAAATATATCTCTATTAATTAAACATCAAATAGTAGAGAAAAAATGGGATGCTGAAAAGTGTTTTAATCACGTTAAAATTATTTTTATTTATTCAAATTTATCCAATCTTATAAATTACATTACTCGGTTTAAATTTTTTTAAGCCATACTAGGAAGACTTTAAATAATAATTTAAAAATAAAAATATTTTCTTTTTGATTTAATTATTTTAAACCGTTGAAAGAATATATTTTTTTTAAAGTCCTATTAATAATACACATGTGAGAATATCATAACAGAAGAAAATAATATTAATTGTAATTGATATTTAGATGAGCATTACAAATTATTTATATACAGTAGTTTATGTTAAACTAAAATATTGATGGTTAATAAATAATTTATATTCATCAATATATACACTATATAATTAAAATAATATAATAACCAGAACAAAATAATTTTGCACAGAAATAAGAAAAAATATAAATATAAAAATAAAATTTTTAATTTTTTTTTTTTTTGTGCTTACCTAAGCCGAAACATTTTGGGCTCATAGCTATGTCATCAATCGCCACGTCTCCTTTAACTGACAGTAGTTTCCGAGCTTCAAATTGTAAATAATAGCTAAAAAATACAAAACACTTAGTTTATGAGGTTATCTGTTTTTTGTTTTTTTTTGTAATTTATACAGTATTTAGAAAAATATAAAAATACCAATTTAATTATAATATTCTTCATTGAAGAACATAATTATTTAATCACTCTATTCTACCAGCAGAACCTTTTTTCATTCTTTAAATCTTTGTTATAAGGTAGTTAATTAATTTATTTAAATAAAAAAATTAAGTTGAATACATTGTTACCATAAAACCATATAAATAATAAAATTAATATCAAGACTCATTGACTTTATTGCCCATTAGATATAAGTAATATATGCTATTATATTCACTTTATTTTGTTACCAAAATTAAAAAATATTTCACAATAAAACACAAACATTTTTTTTTAAAAGAAGAAATTTCATTTATACCTACGTATATTTTAGATACTGAATAATCTGTAACACAAATGGCATATAAATTTGACTACGTTTTAACTTTTTCCTTATCAATATTACATATATATTTATATATATTATTCTCATACTATATACTATAATTAACAATAACTATATCATAGACCAAATATTTAAAAAAATAAGGTTATAAATAAAGTTATTCCATAATACAGTGGTTCTCAATTTTTTTAGTACCACGACCCAAATTTTCTCCGAAAAATCTTTTATGACCCACATGGTTTCACTTTTTAAAAAGTAAGTAGTTAAATAAATAAAAAAAAAAAAAAATAATAAAAATAATATAATATAATTTTAATTTTTTTTTAACAAAATTTGTTTATTAGGTACCTTTATTAGGTTTAAATTATTATTTTTATAATCATTATATTTTTACAAATGTACATTTAATAATAACAATATACCATAATAATAAATTTAATATTAATTTAACATACATTTCTTGAAATTTGTATAATTCAAAAGTTGCTCGCGACCCACCAAAAATTAACTGACGACTCACCAGTAAATCGCGACCCACAGTTTGAGAAACGGTGCCATAGTAGATTAGTTTATAAAATCAGATATAAGTTCATTTTGTTACACTTTTTGATTTAAATTGTTAATTTGAAAATGTATTTCCAAAAATATTTTTGGTAAGTTTCCATATTGGAGCATTTATGAATAAGGAAAATTGAAAAACACGTTTACATGCATAAAAATCGTAAACTGGTGGTGAAATGTTTTGAAACTTAACTAACATTTTTTTTTTTCGAACGGTTGCAAATTTTTATTTATATATATTTTTTTTTTCATACAATTTTTACTATTTTTTAACAAACTTTAAGAATTCATGCCTATTGTAATGTAAATTATATTAAATTAAATTACAGTATTCAATGTTGTATTTTTGAAACATTCAATTCAGTATTCTATATTTGATTAAAACATTTTATATGCAATACATAAATGTTCGCTTATAATATCATACACATTTGAATTATTGTTGTTTTTTTAAGATTTAAGAGATACAACATGTAGCAGAAGTATAAACAATAAAGTATCTAATACATTATTATTCACAAATATGTTTTCAATTCAAAATGCATTTATGGATTTTATTTAAAAATAAATTTATACAGTTCCTACATGAATATTAAAGAAAATAAAATTTACATTTTTAAATAAAACCATGTAAGTTTAAAACAAAACACATAAATCAATACATTTACTATACATTTTTGAATGAACCTATATAATTGCTCAAAAACTAACTCACAAATAGTCCACTAGTAATCGAAATATTATACTTGATTGGAATAATTTATTAGTAATTAATAAAACATTCCATTTATGCTCACTAGTAATGTGAGGAGTATTTAAAGACCCGCCTGTGTTACATAAACCACAGATCGATCCTTCCTTCAAGTGCTACAATCGATCTGTTTAAGTAGAGCTCAAAAGTACATTATAAAATCCAAAAATAGAGTTAAAACAACTATTTTGTAAATTTTAATATACGTATTAAAGCAACGAGTATTGTGATAAACATTTTAGGAAAAATTAGTGTTCATATTTGATATTGTACTATTGCGTTTATTAAAATAATATTATTTTTAAGTTCATACTTTTTATTAGCTATAAAATATATGTATTATACCATTATATCACCTATGAGCGACTCGTTTGCTAGCTCTCAGATGAATGACCATTTGGGAATTTCACAAAATGTCCATTATCGTCGAGATGATGATAATAATATCTAGCTAAAATCACTTCTAACATAAAAAAGAAATAAACGTGTACATACAATTTCATAATCTTCATAAGCATTGATAATTAGTGTCATGAATAGTCGGTAATAAGATATTTCCTAAGGTTCAATATTATTACATTGAAAAAACGATATAAATTCAGATAATAAAAAGCGAATTTACATAGTAAAATGTTGAATAAATTGATTTATTATAACGGATCTGATTATTGTATTTGTATATTGTTTACTCTTAAGATGTATGATATATGTTAATATTTGTCATAATATGTATTCTCTATTTCAAATTATACCGAAATACATTGATACATTTCAGCATTTTACATTTTTTTTCTGATGTCATTAGATATTTTAAATCAAATATTTAAAACATTGTTATCTATATTTGTATTAACTGTATTAATTACATAAATATTCTAGTTAATAATTAAGTGAACTTTTTTAACTGCATAAATTAATATTGTATTTATTTAAAGGCACTCCGTATACCAGATACGAATTTAGCTCGGTTGGTATACATATCAGCTCTTGATATTATTATTTTTATTATTGTAATTATGCTGAATTATACTAAATATAAATAACAAAAAAAAAAAAAAAAAAACTACAGCCTTTCTTTTATTATTCTTAAGTCACGTTATGTGTACCTACTTAAATTTTAAATCATATATAATGGTCTAAGTCATACATGGTGGTAAAATATTTATCGGACATCTTCAAAGGGTCAGTAGTCAAATAAACTTTTACTTCTTTTGTGCATGCAGTCCCCATTGTGTGCTCTTATTATTATAATATTTTATGAACCGGCGCACGTACAGAGAACAGAGAAGCTTACTGTAAATTTGTATAATACAATACATGTTTTAACTTTTTGTAAACGTAAGCCACGATTACCACTGATGAATCAGTAGACAAGTTATACCTACACAAAAGTACTATACAAAATGCAGAACTTAAACATTAATATGATATCATACGTTATGCACGTTATTTGGTTTTTTGTTATGATTACAAGGAATTTTGGCTTTCTACAGGCATAAAATATACTCATTATATGCATGAATAAAAAATGTACCATTAGCGTTATATAAAAAAAATGACGTATTAAAATATCTGAATATGACAAGACTAAATTGCCTATATTTGCCTATATCTATATTAAACCAGAAACGAATTAACAACGATTGCGTTGGCTGAAAACAAAATGAATATTATAGGAATCGAATGTCTGCTGCTTTTTAACATGCCAATCATATTTGAGAAGCCCAAAAGATATTTGCGTATCACGATTACATAAACAATCTCAAAACAATACGTGATCGTTTATTTATATTTTATCAACATTATTAACTGAATGACAATAAAATTAAATTACCATTCGTTAAAGGAAAACTCTTCAAATAAAAAATTGTATACTCCAATGCAATAGTTGGACGTATGGACGTTTGAAGGATTGAAAAGTGTATCATTGTGTGTGAGTGTGTGTACATAGATTTATATAAGAAGAATTTTTGGAAGTTGTTAGAAGTTCAATTTATTTGATTTAAAAATAAATAATGCTTGTGTACTAGGTTAATGGTCAGGAGTATTTTTCTCATCGAATTTCTGATATTCAATCCCCAATAGCATAATATATACAGAGCATTTTAAAAATGTTTAAAACTCAGCAAATAAAAAAAAAAAAAAATAAGACAATAACAAGATACTTGAATAATGAAGTTTTTTTTTATTTTAAAATATGATGTGTACCTAATACCTATATTATTAAACTTTATATTTTATGGTATTACTAGAGAATGTAAATTCGTATAAGGCGACCATAATATGAAAATATTTGCAAGCACCCTTCCTTTCCTCTTTTAAATGGGTGACGTTATAGTGGTACATTTTCGATAACAGACAAGGTGTTATACTTGACAGTGTATATATAGTATATACATATATATATATATATATATAATCTATTAATCCTCTCAAAAAAATTTTTCCTAACTGTAATTGCATTACTCTTAGATAATATATATTGTTCGATAAAAATATTTTAGTCTCATACTTCATAAATTCCAGTTTTAGATATTGATTGAAACACATTATTTTAAATAACCTTACTTAGAATTTAGAATCACTCATTGCTGCAATATTGTCAATAATTTATGCAAATTATCTGCTTAGTGATCATTTTATATGTTTAAATCGTAAGCTTTTATTTTAAAATAAAACAATAATTATTAATTAATATATGTGTCTTTAATAATATTATCAAGGTGATTTTCCTAATAAAAGATGCTTCTTCTGAAATGTTCACTTTTAAAAGTTAAATAATACCTAATTATATAAATTAATACATTGATGTATAATAATATATCCATAACTAAATAGATTAAAGATAAAGTAGATATTTTTGAAATAAATAAAATTTAAGATCACTAAATTTTTCACAATGCTCTAAAATTTATTTTTATCTATTAAATGATTATACTATACTTTAGATAAAGAATAAATTTTATCAGTGAAATTGTATGAGTATATAATATGATATGATAGTACTGTAATATTACGTTTTGTTAAAATTGCATAATATAGATATAAAAACTACATACTATACAAAAGAAAAAAAGAAAATAAAATGTTTAAGTTAAAAATTATTCTAACAATCTAAGAAAACTATGGCATTGACCTGGCCAATATAAGTATATAAGCTGTAGTAATTCTAAACTAACACATATTTTTTAAATAGTTTTTTTTTTTTTTTTTCAAGCACTAGCTTTAAGAGATCTTTTTTTTTAATATAATGGAACATTAAACATTGCCATTGTAGTCGCAAAGTCTGTTTGACGGCATGAACAAATAATCTGCAAATAAAAGAATTCCCAATACCAATTTAACTTATTGCTTGAACGTTAAACAGTAAGTTTGTTTGTTTTAAAGATTATTATTTTTGCTGAAGATATATAATACTTGTAATGAATACAAAAAAACTTAGCGAGTAGATGATGTCGACCAAACACACTATATAAAATATACTTTTTTTAATAAAAAAATTTAATCTTTATTTCATAAATTATATCATAAACATGATGGAATACGGTTTTAATATTTATGAAATTAATCTAAATATTGTTATCATTATAAAACATATTACATATATACCTATAACAATAAAACATAGTTTGCATCATTGATTAAATAAATATGTATTTTTTTTTTTTTTTATGATATTTTACCTAAATTTTATTTAATATAATTAATGTCATTTGTTAATATATATATATAATATGAGACGTAAAAATGTATTTTTTTTTTTTTTGTTATTTTCGTGAAATTCAATTTTAAAATTAATTAATTAACTTCTTAACCTTATAACTTATAGGTATTTAATATTTATAATGTTGAAAAAAATTATTTAATCGAAATATTATTGGTTTATCGAGTGTATTATAGCTAAGCAACATGTATTTACCAGACAGATATTTAAGTATTGGGAGAAACTAACGTAAAAACTATTTTCTTATTATGAGTTCAAAATATTCTATTGTTAAGTAAAATTATAAAAACCATCTTTGGTGAGTATTACCATAAGTAAATACTCTACAGTTCCTGGTATAATTATTAATTAATCAAAGTACCATAACAGATGTCTGATTTGACAAGTCAAATATACATTATTTGCTAAGTCTGTACTACATGGTTAACAGACGCGTGACAGACATGTACCTAAATAGCCTATGCATAACGCCGTATAACCATTATTTTTTAAATTTATTATACGAGTAACTTACTGTTATCGTTCATAGAAAGTCTCCTATAGTAGAGAATTTATTATTATTTTTATGGTGCGATGGAAAAATTATATTATATGATAATAAAATAATCGTTTAATATGTAGTATAAAAAAGATTAACATGTTTTAGAATTTGAGTCTGTGCAACGATAAAATATTGTATAATAATATCATCGATAAATAAATGCTAAATAAATAACATGAGAATTATTTTAAAATGTTTACCATATTTTTAATTTAAATGGTTTATTTATTATTATGATTTGTTTTCTAAACTTTTTCACCTAAAAAATTCCATTATTATGCACAACAATTTCAAAAAAAAAAAACATAATAAATGTATTTTCTAACATTGAATAGCATATCATGCTACTTCTTTTTTATTGACCAACGTTAATAAGTTATGTGAATAGTATTATGCAGTACAATTACAGTATTCAAATATAATGGCTTTTTTTTTTTTTTTTTAATAATACAAAATTTAGTGACAACCATTGGAAATACATATAAGCTGCAATTTATTTAAAAAATATAGTATTTTAATCGTTTATACACACTATGCAATGCATTTCATCAATGACGAGTATTTGTGATTCAACCTTCAACGTTTATTTTTATTTAATCATAAGTATAAAGTATAAATATAATAATAATAACTAAATATAAATATTTGTACCTATAAAATATGAATAACCAAAACCTTTATGATTTCACGTAGAAATTTTCGGTTGTTTTTAGTAGAAAACAAATTATTGGAGTATTGTAGTTTTGTGAACAAGAATACAATCTTTAAAATTTAACTATTTTGTAACGTGTATTTACACGTATGACTGTATATAATAATTAAATATACTTATTACATCAAGTGATCTGGTGCGTATGAGTAGACGTACTCATAAAATATATTGTTATATCAACGTTATTTTGTTTTAAAATATCTTAATTATTGTTAAAAATGAACTTAGTTTTTAAATAGGTCATTGTTGTGACCCATCAGCCTAGATCATTTTTTTTTTTTGTCACATAACATTAAATTAAAATTTTAAAAATACGTTTAACTCAAGTAATACAGGTTAAATAATAGTTATTCAAAAATAATCAAATATAACGAGATGAATTCTAGTTGAATTTTGTTCTACCAGAAACTAATAATTGTGATCTGTCATAGTGTAAATTAACATACCTGGTTGTGATGTTTACTAAGTAAACAACGGTTCGAAGCCATGTATTTCCATAAGTCCCAAAACTCCACCATAATCGTCTAACGCGGTCTACCTCGCCGTGGGCTTCGACCAAATAGAGACCTAAAGTACCACTATGTGAACCATATTTGTGGTAAAAAAACGATATCTGAAAAAAAAAATAATTTCATAAATATAACTTTACAGACATAATATTATATATATTAAAAAAAAATTTTATTATTAAAACGTATTACATCGTAATTATATATTATGTTTATTAGGTATTAAATATACATTTCGTTAGCAAAACTTAGATATATTTACGTTGATGGTTTTAGATTATTTTGATTACTTTATTGATATACTTTAATCGTGTACTTATGTTTAAAAAAAAAAAAAAAGTAATAATTAACTAAAACTTAGTATGTTATTTTACTAAGAAGTAGAATACAAAATATTTTGAATAAAAAAAAATAACAAAAACTAAAAATTAAATTTCATGACATTTAAACTTCATTTGAAAATATTAAGAAATTAATTTATCTTCCTAAAAGTTTCTTAAGTAAGTAATATAATTGTAATTTTAATTGAATATTAACAGAAAATAACATTAATTAACAAAGATATAATTATCTAACCGAATTATATTCATGATAGTTATGAAATATATTTTTAGTTGAAAAAATATTTTATAAACTATTGTAAATATAAAATACATTTTAAATTCATAAGTAGAACCTATATAGTTTTTTTTTTTTTTTTATATATATTCCACTATAATAAAATTGAATCTAAAATACTACTACACAAATTTGACTTAAATAATTGAAAAATATTATTTATAACTTAAGTAAATAATAATACGTCTGGACAGAATCGTGACTACATAATAAAATAACAACTCTAATAGATTTTATCGAATATAGAATCGAAAAGAAAATTCAGTGCATACAAATTTTTGAATGTTTTGTCAACTAAATTCTATGAAAACATTAAAAAAAACTGAATATATCCTGAAAAATCAATGTTACAGTATGTTATTGCAAAGATATTTTGGTATATATATATTATATATGTATTATGTGTCTGTATATTACAATTATTATATACGTTCTAGGGGGTTTAGGAAAATATGTAAAAAAAACAATTATGTTAGATATAATTTTATAAATGTCACGTTAACACGTTTAACCGAATTCTATAAGTCAAACGTTTCTTTCAGACTATATAAGCTACGGAACAATAAATTATCCTTGCTGAGAGTGGTTAATGATATAAAACTAATAGTAATGTTAATATTTTTGTCAAAAGTAGAAAAAATGTAAAAGTTTGGACATTCATTTTTTTATATTTACTAAGAAAAGTTTTGTTCAAGATTCTGTAAACAATAAAAACTTTGTTAAATTATTGAATTGTGTGTGTTATATTACATTTACTCTACAATAAAAAAAAAAAAAAAAAATGAAAGGAATTTATAAAACCTATTTATTGTCACAATATTATAGAAATTAATGTAAAAACAAAATAAATACAATTATTTTACATTATTTTATGAAAAATAATTGTTCGTATTAAACATTCACATTTATTATTTTTTTTTTTAACATGTTAAAAATATGTGTATGTGTGTGACCATAGGGTATCATGTAATAGCACATTATTTTCGTTAATTTCTAGTCATTTCAACGACCATCGCTGAAATAAAATCACCCCATCGGCACATAAACACCATCCAACTGCATATGGTTCAGTCAGACTTCTCAAAAATACAACACAGGCACGGGAAATAAATAAAAAGTTGGTGTTTGAGAAACGTTTTCCATTCAAAGGGTTCCTTCCGACAATTCGATTTACTAGAACGCGGTTTTGGTTCCCACGTCATACCACAGAGCTTCTTGCGGTTTTTGCAACATTCACAGAGCTCGCGTTTACTGAGGCTTTCAATTTTTTCGCCGTTTTGGCATATTTTCTTAAAGTATTCGATTTGCACTTTATTTTTACAGATATCTCGTTTTTCTTTATTTTCAAATTTCTCTTGGTTTTCTATTTTTATTGATTTTTCGATTTTATTGCAGTTTTTGCGGTTCTCTGGCTGCCTAACAACCGCTGACGTGCCCTCACTGCATAACTGCTTCTTCACCCCTTTTATACTGTCGCGTACATCGTAGTAAGCCATACGAAGACAGTTATATTTTTTTAGCAGTACGGTCGAAGAATCACAAGGTCCACTCACCTGATCCAAATCCTTGAGTAATCTCTGTGTTTTTCTAGATAGCCGCACGACAGTATCAGCGTGCTCTCCATTGTCTGACACATTTACCAAGATCTTTTCTAGCTTTTCTATCAGCCGCTTAGCATACTTCGCAATCTGCGTTTTCATGAAAATTTCATCGGCGCATGATGAATGAACCGACTGCAATCCAACCATCTTATTGTAGGATTCAAAGTCCAAATCCAGATCTTCGTTTTCTAAACAAAGTTTCACTGCCAACGGTGGTTGTCTACTCTTCATCATTTCGTTTTCAATCTTGGTTAGTCTTTGTATATTCTTGCTGTCAGTGGACATAGTGTAGGTATATGTTTGTTAAAGCGTGTTTTCCTAATTAGCACGCACATGGAGCAATTTTTGAGATAAAAATATGGCCTCACGATTTGTTATTTTAAATCACTCGTTGGCATAGACACGTTTGGTGGTTGGCCAGTGTAATGGACAAAAACTTTTTTTTTATATTTATCCTATACGCCGGATTGGATGCTGTTGCTAACATAAAACATGAACGAATTTTTTCAAGATTACTAAAAAATGTATTTAAAATGCTAATGATTACAAAAAAACATTTAAAAAAAATGTTTATGAAAATAATTTAAATTTTTTAAATTTAAGTTTAAATTATCATTTTAATGGTATATATGCTCTAATTACTATTATTTTATAAATTATCTATGCTCAAAAATTTATAATTTTATACATTTTTTTATTTTTCGGTATCCTAGGTATATTTTTTTTTTTTTAGCACAAATTAATTTTTCACTTGAGTGCAAATTATATAAGGAAATATAGAATTTTGTGAGAAATTAGTAAATTTTCGTTCGATAAATATGAAAGCGATTTATATACACAACATTTATACCTTTGAAGTCAGATATTAATACCATATTTTTTAGTATATACATGAATTATTTGTATGAAGTTTAAGAATTTTTTTGTAACCAAGTGTATTTATAATGATTGGTGTGTATTTTTGAATATTATTAATATTTTATTTTCATATTAAAGAAAATATTCCATAATAATAAGTTTGAAAATATAATACATGGATACTATGATACAATAATAAGGTAATTTGAAAATTATAGAAATTTATAACTTATACATTATTGTTTCATAATAATGTACTTAAAAATTTTCTGATTATATAATAATTAGTGAACTGAATATAATAATTTACTATAACATCGTGTTATTTTTTAATATAACAGCAGTATTCATTAAGATTATTACAACATTTAAAAAAAAAAATTAACAGTTTTTAAATTAAAAGAAAAAAGAAAAAAACCACATTTGGAAAAACAAACGAAAAAAAAAAGGTTAAAATTTTTAAATATTTTAATATATTACAAAAATTAAATTGCAATAATTGCATTATTAAAAGATAAAAGAAATTTTGCATGCAAGTAAAACGAGAATTCTTACGTAAAACTAGTTTTTGATTAAAAAAAAAAAAACATTGTATATATAAAACAATTATCCTTTTTAAGTAAAAAGAACTTAACATTTTAATAAAATGTTACTCATAAGTTGTTGATAACATCATTAAAAAATATGACATTAACATTGTTACCATAATTATTTAAATTTAAAATGTTTATAAATTTCAATAAATTACGAAATTTTGCAATGTATTTTGTAGATCAAAATTCATAAAATTTTTACTTTTAATATCTAAAAATGAAATATTTAATTCAAGATTAATCATAAGTTCCTATTATTAGAAATTCAAAAAAAAAAATTAACCATATTATCTTAAAATATTCCACAGTTAAATAAAATATTTTATAAACAATCTTTTCAAAACATTTGGACTAATTTAAAGCTATTTGTAGAAGTTTCAAATGTTCGTATTTTATTTTTATTTTTTAAATGTATACAGAACATGTTTCAATGATTTTCATTCAAGAATAAATATTTAGTACAAGTAATTTATAAGTAGATTAGGTTAGTATTAAGTATAAAATTTCAATGATATTTAAGTTTTTTTATTAAAAGTAAAAATGTGATTTTAAAATGTTTGATAAGTTGTACACAATTGTTTTATAACTAATATTGTAATAATAAAGTATTTGAATGATAATTATTTTTATTTATATATTTATACGATGACTGACGCCCAATGGCGTCAAACAGCGTCTGGCTAAAAAATTATTCAGTGACGCTGATGACGCCAATAGGCGTCATAAAAAAAATCACGTACAGCACCGGGGAATGGGTATACGAAAATCAAGCCGCAGAGAACGTGTTAAAAATCTTAAAAACGTAATAGAGCTATGGTTATGCTTAGGTTGTTTTTATAGCTATTTAAAAATAATAAAAATACACACGCACAATTTTTTTGTAATATTAAATATTTTCAAATTATATTTAATTAATAAACGCGATAGTTGAGTTAAATATTTATAGACGTACCAACGTTCAACAAAACAACACACGTGTTACTGGAAATTTTTATGTTACACCATCATACATAAATTTCCTTAATGTTTCATTTAACTGATAAACATCTAAAGTAGAAAGGATAATACTACAATAATACAAGGTTTAAAAGAAAATAACTCTGCGTCAGTGTCTCTTAATAAAAGTCTCAAGACATAATCCCCATGTCAGTATGCATTACAATACGTTTATAACAATCAAACGAGTATACTTGCTATTATGATTTTACGTTAACATCAGGTTAACGATTATTCGAATATTCGGTACGCTTATAGAATTAACTATCTTGCACTATAAACTATAAACAGAAGTCATTTGTTATTTTATTCTCTCATCAAACCTACTAACAACTTTCATTATTTGTTATTAAGCTTTGAAATTTAAGTGACTATATGAGCTTAATATAATTTAAGTTTTCTATTTAATTTTTTTTTTATAGCATAGTCACTACGTAT